TGACACTTGGAAAGTGGTATAGGAAAAGCAGAGCATGGAAAACTCTTTTTGGTTTGGTGCAACAATCCTGACAGACATCTCTCTCTAAATGCTGCATTTTGGGGAGGCAGACTTACTTCCTGTTTAGATAACAAGATTCTTGGACTTACGTCAGTCACATTTTTCATGCTTCAGTGTCGCTTCTGCAGATGATACTCTGGTATCTGGAAGTTGAGTGATGGCAACTGGATTTCTTTCTTATTTGGTTGAAATGTTTCACTACTCATCCAAGTAGATTCTTCAGTCTGAGGAGAGTTGGTAGGAGACTCCTGATATATCCTATCTGTTGGTTTAACTTCTCCCAGGTCTGAATAGGCTCGTTAGATTGACAATGGATGGGGGGGGGGGTGAGTGCTAAACCACAGAGCAAGAAACATCCCCACCTCCATAGAAGCCAAGAAGAAAGAAGATGGACATCTAAAGACAGCCCTTAAGGCCTGTGGATATCCAAAATAGGCCTTTAACGAGGCAATGTCCTAACCCAACAGGAGCCAATGGAAGAACCTGGTCATTCCTTACATGGCAGATGTGTCTGAAAAGTTCAAAAGGATTTTTGGTAAATATCAAACCCACAAAGACACTACGATGGAGATCCGTCCACCCAAAAGACTGTACACCAAAATACAACAGGAGCAATATAGTATATGCAGTCCAATGCAAAAAGGACTGTTCGGAGCTCTACATTGAAGAAACCAAACAGCCACTAAACAGGAGAATGGCCCAGCACAGGAGGGGAAATGGCTCAGGACCACTATCAGCAGTGTTCCTTCAATTGAAGGACAAAGGACACTCATTTGATGATCGAGATTACTCATTTTGGACTGGGAAGGTAGGTGGTTTGAGAGAGGGACAGGGAGGCCAAACATGTGCATATAGAAAATCCCTCACTCAACAGGGGTGGAATCCTTAGATACAAGCTGTCTCCTATCTATCATGCTGCCCTTTCATCTGTCCCCATAAAGATCAGGACCACACCCACCAGAAAGACCACTGTTAACGACTGTTAATAATCCATGACATGAGAAGGACTTCAGAGGTGGGATTTTCACTCACCCCCAGTCCTTTGTCCATCTAGAGAGCCTATTTAGACCAGGGGGAAGTGAAACCAACATGGAGGATATATCAGTGGTCTCCTACCAATTCTCCTCAGACTGAAGAAGCTACTTGGATGAGTAGTGAAATGTTTTGACCTAATAAGAAAGAAGTCCAATTGCCATGACTCAACTTCCAGATAACCTCACCTGGATGACTGAGAATCTTCACAGATATTAAACTCTGTTGTTGCTTGTTTGTGGTTTAATGTCACATTGTGCATAATAATGACAGAAGGTGCTTGACTGAAAGCAACCCAACAAATTCCATTGTTGAGTAGGCATCTGAAACCACATGTCCCTATCGACTGTGAAGTTGAGTACCTGATCTTACCAAATTAAACTATACAATAAACTAGTTCTCATGAACATGTTATCTGTAGGGTTCTTTTAGTCTTAAAATGATGGAGTGCCTGTAGCAGATGATGGTGTGTTCACCCATATTGCTTGCCTGCAATCTATATATGCATAAGGAAGTTGCTCTTGAGTATTACCATAGGGTAATACTAGGGTAGACCTCATGAAATTGTACTGTGCCCTCACTGCTCAAGAAAATATGCACAATGAAAATCAAATTGTTCCCAATCGTTTGCATTACAGATTCATTATGTATGGCTTTAAGTATATCAGCAGCTTTCTGAAGACCTCCCAAAGATTTTATGAACATTTTCAGAATCGCTTCTCTCATCATTTGCAAAGATAGAGAGAGTGAATGCAAATGCTGGTCTTAACAGGCAGGCTTATTTTTCTTGTAGAAATATTCTGTTACACCTGCAGTAGAGATTATGCTGCAAAAAGGGGCTTTAAAGGCAAGTTAGAAACATGTCTTAATATTTTATAGAGATTCTGGTGGACATCTAAATGCACAATGTTGTTCTGTTAAGTCAATCTTATACCTAGCCAGCTCCGAAAGGTTTATAGGTGAGTTGCAACAGGCACACGATCCTGTTGTGATGATGATGAAATTTATTTTTATTTTTATTTATTTAAAGCCCATCTCATCTCAGGGTGGGTTACAGAGTTGTACAAAACAATTTTAAAATACAAGATAATTAAAAGAGTTTGAAATCAAACGGCACACAATTAAAATATTCATTAAATAACCTATCTACATGTGCAGCAACAGAACAATGCTCCTGAGCAATGGAGCAGATTGGAGTGAGTGCATGACTCTGTATTATTTTTGTACTGATTGTTCCTGAAGATGCAAATAATAAATTGGTATCACACACACCCTGCATTCCATATACGGAAGCACATTGGGCAGTTAGTTGAGCCTTACTTCAGTGTGGGCAGTGAGGAAGTATTCTCTGCTGCACTTGAAAGAAACAGGCTAGTTTAAGGGGCTACAGACTTTGTAATCTACGCAGCTGTTGTCCAGTGGAAATGAACGGCCAGGGGACTAAGAAGGGGCATTTGGGGAGCAGAGAGCACTGCTTCCTATCTGTATTTGCTACCTGAATTTGCACCAATGGCTACCAGAACAGCTTTGGAGGCCACATGTGGTCTGTAGTCCATGTGATTCCCATTTTTATTCTGTATGGAATCATACATTCATGCAATACCTCAAAAAGCAAATAGTCCCATGAAGCAGGAAATCTACTGCTACAATGCCAAGATAGACATCCATCCAATTTGCTCTTAAAAGCTTAACGAAGCATTCTTGATCAGCTTCTTAAGCAATCTCTTCCACTTTTTTAACCAGTTCATACCTTGAAGACTGTTTCTCTTTCTGAGGATAATCTGCATTCCCTAGCCTGGATCCATTGGCTTCTTTCTTGCCTTCGTAGTGTGTTGGCTATTCATGATGTTTAAACTCTGAAGCGTTTGGGGGCTTGAACCAGAAATAGGAGTTTGCAAATGCAGAATGTTGTGTGCAATCAGGAATGTGTGAAAGATATGCCAACAATCTTCTTTTTAAAGCAGGGATGAGGGCTATATGACCCTCTGAATGTTATTGGGCTGCATAAACATGCATGCTTCGTTTGTTTTTAGATGAGGTGTGCAGTTGTCACAGCTAGCCATATCACCAAAGAGGCATTCCCAATTCTTTTTCATATTAGAAAAGATGGCTCTTCTTAAATTCCATTTACCAGTTTTACCTTTTTACAGGTACATTTGGCTGTTCTACATGCATGTTTAATTAAAAATAATTGAAGAAAATCCATAAGCTGTTGTTCTGGCTGATTAATTGGAAGGATCTTTATAGATGATCATATGTTTAGATTTAATCATTCTAACAACTGAAGTGGCCTAAGTGGCAAAGATTTAATTATCTTGGAAATTTTGCCCCATAGATAAAGCATTTTGTATTCTGCTACTTATTTTCGTCAGTCTTCGGAAGATCACAGAAGTGAATTAGCCTTGTCTTGCTGCTTAATTGTCAGTTCTTGGGATATTTCTGCTGACTCATAAGATTGTGGAGCAGGAATGTTATAGCTTACCATTCATTAGTCTTCATTTTGTCATCACAGATGGCTATTTCCTTTCTGGGAACAATTAAATGTATTTTTTAATTTACAGCCTTTCCTTTTTGGAATACATAAATTTAGTTGGACTGTGTGAAGTTTCGCTTAGGAGTGTAAGAGTCTTACCCCACATATGCTCCAGGTGCTTCCTGAGGGACATGTGTATGACTCTGTTCCAACGTAGAGACCATGCATCTTTCAACGCTTGCTGTATTTTTCTTAGCTGGTCCTATTTCCTGTTTCCTAGGGCGTCCTGGAAGAGCAGCTTGTTCTGAATGGTGACAATGCCTACAATGCACACTTTGGGGAAAGCATGGCGTCCCTGGGGGATATTGATGATGATGGATTCCCAGGTCAGTATGCTTTCTTTTGCATGTCAACTTAGTATTTTTATCCTTTCTTCTCTTAGAAGATGCAAACATTAATAATGAAACAATTATTGCCTTTTAGCCTTATAATCTAAAAAGCATAACATAAAAGGGAAAAAAGGATGAGGAGGGTATTAATTTTTTACTTGTATTGTTTATACGCTGCCTAGGGGACCAAAGACAGATCACAACCGATTTTTTTTTTAAAAAGACAGATTTAAAAACACTATATAAATATCTCATTTACATTTTTTTTTAAAAAAACAGATTTAAAAACACTATATGAATATCTCATTTAAAAAAAACAATTAGACAAATATTAAGATTTTAAAAATCAAGTTTGAAAACAATTCAAAAACATTTACAAATCTATAAGAGGACGAACCAAGTGGAGCTTTTCAGTTAAGAGGGCTGACGGAAGGGCTCTGCTTCACACTTCTCTCTCTTCTGCATTCTAATATGATATCATCATTAAATAGAGAGCATCCCTTAAAATTATTTAATATCTTAAGTAGAACAGTCAGATGATTAATGAATGTTAGTTCAGGGGGTTTAATTTTTAAAAAAGCTCATATCATCAAAAAGTGCTTCTGCCAGTTATTTAAACATATCAAGGAACTACAGTTTAGGATGCAATTGTTCCTAGCCTTTCAAACAGAAGAACTCCATTGCAACAGGCAAGTCAGCGGTAAATTGCTTCTCTCCTATATTGTCTTCACTGTCAGTGTAATGGAGAATACACTGGCTTTTGTTTAATGTTGTGGTTTTCATGGTTAATGAGATGAATATGAAGTTATCATTAGTGATGTCTGAAAGGATACATGTAAATGCTACTTTAATATGTGAAAATCTGTTTTGTTGCTGTTGCTATCAAGTTGGAGCTGACTTACAGAGACCTTAACAGGGCTTTCAAGTCAAGTGAGATATTTAAGTTTAACAGGGCTTTCAAGTCAAGTGAGATACGTATTTAAGGAGTAGTTTTTACCAGTTCCACTCCCCCAGTGGGTTTTCATGACTGAGTGGGGATTTGGACCCTAGTCTCCAGAATCCTAATCCATCACTCTATCCACTACACCACACCGGTCCTACAAATGTATTCTAATATGTGCAAACAAACAAAAGCTGGTTATTATTAAAAGGAAAAGGGTTCCCCCCCAATTATTATTAAAAATGTTTAGCTTGACTTTTTGTTTAATTCATCTGGTTATAACCTTTCTTAGAGCTGTGTCTGAATAAACTTCCTGATGTCGTTTTATTTTCTCTCGGACTCCCCACTTGGCTTATGGATATAGGTGCTTTGTGTTCCCAAGGCTTTCTGTGGGATTTCCTGCCCTTTTCTTTCCGCAGCCTGGGATATCTCAGTCAGAAATAGGTCCTTAATATCTTCTCATGAAATTCAGTGAACATGAATTTATGCCGTTCACTGCAAGCATGATCATCAGCACCTAGATAATCTTATCTAAGGCTGTGCAATGAAATAGGTCATGTCAATCATGTTGCTTCTGAGTATTGGTTATTGTGAACCATTATTTGCCCATTAAGAACAGAATAGTAAAGAAAGAAGCCTGTGATGACCCTCTTGTTGCAGAGGCAAAGTGTGACAGTCTTGTGCTGCTTGAGCCTGAAGTATTATCCTCTGCAAGATTTTTATAGCTCTTTGTTACTCATGTCAATTTCAGGCTTTTACACTGGTCAGTGTCAAAGGATTGTGTCCATTAGAAACTGACTAAGATTAGAGCCTGATACTGACAAGCATCACAAAGACAAAAAATCCTGCAGAAATTAATATTTTGGGCACAAGCAGTGCAGAACCATCAACCCTGGTCTTGTGCAGTAAATCAGGGAGGAGAGAAAAGCCAGAACAAAATGAAACAAAAAAGAAAATGCAGTGCACAGTATTTCTGTGTTCTGTTGTTTCATGAAATGTCTCAGTCTCCTTGGGGGGTCCCAGAGGGATTTCCCACTGGAGTAAAATGTCAAAAATAATCAGGATTGGGGAAAAATGCTGTGTATTTAGTACATTCCTTTCCTTTCAGTACTTCTCCATTGGATTTGGGTCAATAAGCCAAATGCATGTTATAGGAAGGCTGTAGAAACCTGGTAGATTATGGGAAGATTTTTCAAGAACCATGCCACAGAGAGGCTTCATAGTGGGTGGCATATGTTATGTGTACCAGTTATAGCTTCATATATAGTTGACTGATTCCTTTCTGAGATACATAAAACATGTAAAGACGTCACTATAATTATTCTCCATGTGGCTGCCGTTGCCTGTAGAACTGAGATTCATGTTTTTCGTTTAACACAATCTTAGTGTGTGTAAGAGATTTTTGTTAATTTAGGCAACGTTTTCTAAGTGAGTTTTCATCTTTACAATGAACATGATTTGTTGTGACAAGAATCTGCACTATAATTACAAGGGACAGAGAGAGAGAGGGAGAGGTATTTCTGATTTTCAATTTCTTACTTAATTAGATGTTGCCATTGGTGCTCCTAAAGAGGACAACTATGTTGGAGCAGTCTATATCTACCACGGATACATTGGTGGCATCATATCTCAGTATTCTATGGTAAGTGATGGATGGGTGGACCTATGGAGCTTAAGTCGGGGTGTGCCAGAATATACAACCAAAGTTGGTACACATCTAAATGTCATTGGTTGGTCACCTATTATATAACTCAAGGATGAGTATGTAATATTTCAGCCTGATGTTATCTAATAATGCATGGTGTTTTGAGAGGCAGTGATCCACAATGTCTCTCCATGTGTACTACTTAGAGCTAGTAAGTCCCTGCATAAGTACAGTCTGCGTGTAAGGAGGGTGTATCAGAGAAGCATAGATTCTTACTTTATTTTTTACTTTCTATGAGTTCTCATCTTTCATGTATGATAAATTGTAATATGTTTGAGTGAAACAGCTACTACTAGCAAAATGTATTTCCTTTTATGATAGTCAAGCAGATTTGGCATTGGTTTCAATTTATAACAGCAGATGTGCTCTTAAATAAGCTTTTTTTTTTTAAAAAAAATCTGCATGGCAGACAGGATGTTTCAGGATAAAATAATTGGACCAACTTTTCAAGGTCAGCTTCCATCAGTTGTAGAAAGAAAAATATAATTCCTTCTTAAAATGTATGCCACTTGGTGCATTTTATGAGCTACTTATGATTAGTTCTTTCTATTGATTCCAGCACTTCCAGGCTGTACCTTTGTAAGGAAGCTTAGGTTTATTTTGCCAGGCCTGCCTTGCACACTACCAGATCTGTCTGTATAAATATACAGATCCAGAACTTGGATAAGTGACATTTTGAACTACAGTTCCCAGAATCCCATTGCCACCTTGGCTACTTAGTCTGAAATGCAATTTGTAATCTAGAAAAGTAATTCTTCTGAGCTCTGTGACTGATGCAATCAGTAGATCACAGCTTGAGCTTTTTATCCTAGTGAATGAGTTTTGCTTACTGGAAAAAGTAGGAAGGCATCATACTTGTTTCTTTCACCCTTTAGCTGTTTAAAGTTGTGATCTAAATATTTTGTTTTTGTTGCTGGGTGGGAGCCATGCAGGATGCTAAGTCAGAGTGTAATGGTTGCATTTGCAATACTAAGAGCAAGCTGCAGATGATTAGTTCTGCTATTTGCATTTTTTAAAAAAAAGAATGCATTAAGTTTTTTTTTAATTGCCAACTAAATCCATTTTATGACCATTTTTATAAGTGATAATTTGTGGCATATGCAAAACTCTTTCTATGTAAAACACATAGAAAGGTTGAAGGATGACTGGGTTGATTTAAATGTATCATGACATTTTGGTTGAGGATGTCCAGATTTGGAGAGATAGATGTTTGTTTTTACATATTTGAGGTCATATAGGTTTCATAAGGAGGTATCATATTCATATTAGCAAACAGTAAAGCCGACTGTTGTCTCTTATAAGATTAGTAAATCTTTTGGGATCTTCTTTGAGATAAGCTCCTGCCAGCTATTTTCCATTACCTCCCCCCCCGCCCCCTCTGTTTGAGGCTCCTCACAGCTATGTTTTAATGCTATGTCTTGTTCCAACAAAACAGGCCTGAATCTCAGCCCTCGTTCTGCTCACATATCCATCAAGCACTTTCAGATGTTTAATTTGTGGTGTCTGCCTACCTGGCCTCTCTTTGAACCACTAACCTTGAGGTGAAAGGCTTTGTGTCCTATTACTATAACTCTAAACCCTCCAGATGCTGTGCATTTCACACACACACACACACACAAACACTGATGCATGCACACACTGACAAAACAGAGTTTTTAAAAGAGAAGGTCATTTGTTTACAAGGAGATTTGATTTCCTCTCACATTTGAAATACTGGATTTTGCATGGGCCGCAGCCAGGTCTTGGGTACAGCTGAAGCATTTTAAGTGGCTTCCAGAGAAATATGTATGCTAAATAAATATTATCAAGCTAGGTTTCGGGGCCTTTGGTTTTGTTCACAGCTTTCCAAACGGTGTAGCGTTATACTCCAACCTTTGTATCCTAATCGCCTGCAGATGTCTGTGGGATATGTATAGCCCTGGTTTGCCACCCTAACAGAGACCCCCCACAAAAGCCCAGCCACATTCTCCTGTGTCAGTGTAATTTGAGGTGTTCAGCTGCTTTCAGTTGCCTTTGTCTTATCAATTCCAAAAGTGGGGAAGTTTTCTTCATTAGTTTTTAAGTGAGAAGGTTTAAGAGCTCCTTCCTTTCCTCCAAGTTTTCATGTGGCCTTTTGCAGGTAGTTTCTCATCTGAAGTTAGTCAGTATTACTATCCATTACATTTCTTTTTCCAGTTCATTAAGAGGACATCTGTATGTTGCATGTTGCTGGTCAGACACTTCATCACTAAAAAGGACATGCAGGGCACGGCATTCCCTCTTCGTGATGGAGGCATCACAGTCTGTGGGGTTTTGGACTATATAGCCCAGTGTGGTTCTGAATGAGTCAGTTCCTCTATTGAAAGAATAAGCGGAGAATCTGTGTGGTTGATCACTTGTATTGATCAACCACACAGTTTGGGACTTCTCTGATTTAAAATCTTATTAATGACTCTCACATGTAGCCTCCTTCCAACAGGAATATGGCGTTGTGTTCCTAACTAGCTGAGAGTGTCAGCAATGAGTTGTGTATTATAATTTGAAATGGGATGGGGCTAAGCAGTGAAGTGTATATTGGTACTATAAAACAGATGAAGTAGATGAATAAGTAAGGATACATGCTCTCTTGTTCCTTCTTCCTTAGGCATCCTTCAGTCTCGAGAGACTTCTTAAAAAACAAATAAATCACAACTTGTTGCCTCAAAAAGAATAGCATTCTTTGTCTTAAATATGAAGTTGATACAATGCATACATATAGATAGGCAAATGTGTAAGTCAACAGTGAGAGGTGAATGAAACCATAGCTAGCACTTTATGCCACCCAATTCCTTAAAAATAGATGGGAGACTTGTTATTGAATACAATCCCATATGCACTAGGAAAATCTATTGGTTTTACTTTGTTCTACATTAGGAGTTCTTAAAAGCTGAATATTTTCCATACCATGGTCAAATTAGGTAAATTATTCAAAAGGGATTTAAAACAATAATTTCCATTTGCACTGGTCAAGTCTGTGGGAGACTGCTGTTCATGCCATACACATAATAATTAAAAGGAATGTGGGAAAAATATTGACCTAATACGGAATTGGCTAAGTTGAATACACAGAGATTCTTGCCCAGAGGTTTAAGAGTTACACATTCAACTACCTGGATGGATGAATCTGTTAATTTCACATTCTTTAAATACGGTACTGGATTTTAAAAATGTTTTTCCCCATTCAATTATAAATATTTGCAAATTGGACAAGTCTTACAAAAATGAATGAACTGAAATCCTTGCTTATCCCTGATCACACAGAACCTAACCATTTCCATTTGCTTGGTTCTGTTGATTCCTGTTCTGTCTTATCTGTTACAGAGAATATCTGGAAAACAGTTGAGTCCAAGACTGCAGATGTTTGGCCAGTCCATTTCTGGAGGTGTTGATATGGATGGGAATGGCTATCCAGGTAGGTTTGAAATATTGGCAAAAAGTAAAGCAAAGCAAGAGATAAAACATATGGGAGGGTGTACAAATTGCTATTGATAGGTCCAAGGACGTGCACACTTCCATTTTCCCTTGTTTCTGTTCTAAAAATAAGACAAACTTTTCTACTATCTGTTTATTTTTTCTTTGGTAGTTGAACCACATTCTTTAAGTCTGAAGTAGATCTGAGCAAAAATAAGGATGTATTTGCCCTCGGTTCATTCTTTTGGAAAGAATGCTCTTGTGCAAGAAGGTCTCTAGTGCCATCTCTTTGCAAAAGCTCAGCAAGCAAAAGGGAAAAAAAGGTGTGTGGTCCTTGTACACAGTCCAAGGACAAGGAGGGGTGATACCTTGATTCGGCCCTAAAAAGATATATCCCAAACTAATGTTAGCTTTTGATCATCACGTATGGGTCTTCATCTGGCCAGGCACACTTGTGTTGGGGTAGTGCAGTAAAAATTTGAGAGCTAAAAATTGTGGCTAGACATTTATGCCAGTTTCAGAATGAGGTCTGCAAAGTTAAACGAGGAGTGGTGGTTTTCAATTTTGTCTCTGGCAATGTTGACGGAATAACTGTCCAGCTCTTCATGTAACAGACCATTATGCAAGCAGGAGGAATGAACAAATTTCTATGTTATTTTTTTTCTACAACTAATCATGTAATCTAGTTTAATAATTCTTCTGTCTATAGTATGTTGTGGGTAAGGATGCCTTATCCACAACATATTATATGTGATAATTTGATCATTATAACATTTGATAATTTTGATAATTTTCTAAATATTTTAATTTGCTTTTCCAGATGTGACAATTGGAGCCTTTATGTCAAACAATGTGATTCTTCTCAGGTGAGATCAGTTTGTCTTTAGTTCTTTACTAAGGTCACTTGTGTTCCTCTTATGATTACCGGTTTTCACCCTTAAGTTAGGGCTTGGCTACATGGCTTTGCTAGAGCGGGCTCATGTGGACCAAATAGGGTTGCTAGGAGGTCCGGTATGCTATTGAGGGCGATCCTCAGACATCAAGTGATCCTATTTGGTAATAGCAACTCACTGTCAGTTTGCCAGTGTCATATAGTGGTACACTTAACATCACAAAGGTACACAGAGTCATGAACAACCTCAAATTCTTGCATTGAGATGGTAATAGAGGGAGGTGAGTCCACACCCTGGCCCATGACTTGTGTTTTCTTCAGACTGATTGTTAATCCAAAGTCTTGGCAGGCCTTGCTAAAGTGATTCATGAGTTGTTGGAGGTCTTCAGCAGAATGGGCAACTACAGCTGTGTCATCGGTGAAGAGGAAGTCCCGCATGCATTTCAGCTGGACTTTGGTCTTCACTCTCAATCTAGAGAGATTAAAGAGCTTTCCATCTGATCTGGTCTGGAGATAGACACCTTCTGTTGCAATTCCAAAGGCGTGCTTCAGCATGACAGGAAAAAAGATCCCAAACAGAGTCGGGACAAGGACACAACCCCATTTCACCCTGCTTCGGATGTCAAAGGGATCTGATGTTGAGCCATCAAAAACTACAGTGCCCTTCATTTCCTCATGAAAGGACCTGATGATGTTAAGGAGTCGAGGTGGACATCCAATCTTGGGAAGTATTTTAAAAAGGCCATCCCTGCTAACCAAATCAAAGGCTTTTGTGAGATCTATGAAGGACACAAAGAGTGCCTGTCATTGTTCCCTACATTTCTCCTGCAACTGTCTGAGAGAGAATACTATGTCAGTGGTGGATCTATTAGCTCGAAATGCACACTGTGATTCTGGATAGACTCTGTTTGCAAGCACCTGGAGCCTCTTCAGCGCAACACAGGCAAGCAGCTTCCCTACAACGCTGAGAAGAGATATGCCACAGTAGTTATTGCAGTCGCCCCTGCCTCCTTTATTCTTATACAATGTGACAATGTTTGCATCCTTCATGTCCTGTTGTACTCCACCTTCCCTCCATCAAAGACAAAAGATTTCATATGGCTTGGTAGTGATGATCTCTTTACAGTACTTCAGCACTTCAACAGGGATGTTATCCTTTCCAGGTGACTTGCCAGAGGCGAGGGAATCCAAGGCCGCTTTTATTTCTGCTGAAGTTGTTTCGCTGTCCGCTCTTCCAAGACAGGCAGGCACTCAATGTTATTTAATGCCTCTTCGGTTACTACATTCTCTTTGGAGTATAGCTCAGAGTAGTGCTGCACCCAGCAGTTCATCTGCTGTGCTCAGTCCTGGATGATCACTCCTATAACATACTTCAAGGGAGCAGATTTCTTCTGAATTGTACCTAAAGACTGCTTGATACCATCATACATTCCCTTGATGTTACCTGTTTCTTCTGCTATCTGTATCTGAGAGCATTGCTGAAGCCAATAATCAGAACAACTCCTGGCAGCCTGCTAGACTTTGCTACAAGCAACTTGAAGAGCCTGCAAGTTGTACTCACTAGGATAGGCTTTGTATGCTGGTAGAGCTCTCCTCTTTTCCTTGATGGCTGGCATCAGCTCCTTTGAATGGGCTTCAAACTAGTCTGCCGTCTTTTTTTGTCTTTTTGCCAAATGCGGACAAGGCGGTGTTATAAATAGCATTCTTGAAATGTTTCCAATGTTTCCATCGTTCAGGTACACTTGCATCAGCCGGGCCTGGAAGAGTTTCCTTACTTGCATCAGCCGGGCCTTAAGCGCTTGGGCAAATTCCTCCACTTTTCTTTGATCGCAAGTCTTGCTGATGTCGATATGTGCTCTTCCTTCCTTTTTTGTGTGATACAATCTCTTTGCAGTTTTACTCTACTACACACCAGGAAGTGATCAGTGTCGCAATCAGCACTCTGATAACTGTGTGTGATCATAATACTAGGAAGGCTAGAGCGCCTAGTGAGGATCAAATCAAGCTAATGCTTTGATCTTGGATGTCTCCAGGAAACCCTGTGTCCAATATATGCACTACATTGCTTAAAAACAAAATCCTGATAAGATGGAGCAACAAGGGGGATTTTTATGTTCATTTTACTTTTGATTTAAATTGATGCAATGCATATGCACTGCCCAAATAAACATTTTTTTTTAAAAAATTACTTCCTTAGCATCTCCACAGATTTGCTCTTCCGAAACCAATTCAATATACAGACAAATTGACAGGGGAAGGCTTACTTTGGTTCATTTCCAGCCATCGCATGGCATGCACTGGAAACAAACCCAAACAGGCTGATCCTAACGGCACCAAAAAAAAGTAGAAGCCACTGACAGAGATCAGAAAAGTGCAGATAAGACTGCACTGGGGGGTGGGCTGGTTCAGTCTAGCAAATATGTTATTAGAGTCCTGTCTTTAGGAGAGAACCAGCTCAGCTCTACAGCAGACCAAACAGTGGGTGATATGCCTAAGTAATCAATCACTTAGTCTGCAAAAGGTGGGGTGCTACTTGTCCTAGTTTATACAGTTGTTCTTCTGGTCACTGGATATTAAGATTATTTGTGTTTATTCCTATTTGTGCAATAGCCAAGAGCTAACAGTGATAGTTATATGTTAATGTTTCCAAAATTATTTTATTTTATTTATTTTATTTATATCTCGCCTATCTGGTCGGGTCAGGACCACTCTAGGCGGCTATTCCTGCAATGTGTATGGAAATAACCCCTGGTGTTATAGTGCTGTTAGGGTGCTTCCAGATTGATAGAGTAAATTCATTGCCATGTAGGTGGATGATTGCTTGTAAGATGGATGTTTTCTGCCCCTGCAGCCTCCTGCTTGCTCTCTGAATCTTGTCCAGAGAGTTCCCCTCCATATTAGATTCAAGACATGTGGAGGGGTTGGTGGCAGGGGAAGAGGAATGATTAGAGTGTTGATTAGGACTGAGGGGAAACAGATTCAGAGCCTCCACTTGCCTAGCCATTAAGCTGACTTAGTGGGGTGACTTTTTTTTAAGAAACAAATCAGCTTCCTTGTATTTAGGTAGATATCTCAAAACGTCAGAAGCTGCTCCCAGCAATTTTGTGCAAATGTTAGAAAGTGTTCAGAATGAGGGACATCTTTGGTTGACAACCATAGCATTCAATAGGAATCTTCCCAAACTGCTTTCTGTACTAGCCCCTCCAGGACCAGAGAGGTGGATCAAAAAAGGTTGATGGTTGATGGTATTGAAAGCCCCCAAAAGGTACAGCAGAACCAGCAGAAACATGGTGTCTACTCCCCTTGTCCCAAATACTACAAAGGTCTCCAAAGCCACCTTCATCTCATAACCAAGAGTGAAGCCAGTTTGGAATGAATTTAGACAATCCATCTCATCCAGGCAAATTTATCCACAGTACATCATTTTATGCAATTATAATGAGCTTTCAATTTTTTTTTGGCCCAAGTCTGAGTTTTCTAACCCTGTTGCTCCCTTTGTCATGTCACTCAAAGGAATATGGCCCCATTTTCTTCTGTAATGGATTTACTGTGTCTGGGAAAATATAAGATGGTTAAAAATGGAAAACAAAGCTGCCCCCAGTTCTTTTAATGGGATAGGGCAATGGCACAATATTTTTTTTCTAAGACAGTATTTTCATGAACCCATGCTGGACTGGTATGTACTGGAACATAACTCCTCTTACTTACACCTCCACCCGATATAGAAAGAGAGTTGCGAATGCTATTTTACTGATTGTACCATAGTACTTAATATATAATATCCTCAGTATTGTAAGGTACATTTCACATAGATACAGCACAGTCATCAGTTATTATAAATGGATGTGTGATAGTGGAGGAGCAAAATAGGTTCTCAAAGGAAGATGTATACTCAGTGCTTTCTCTTTTTATAATGTTAAGGGAAATGTGTTTGCAGTTATTGAAGATCATACCATTTTGTCTTGTTGAATTGATGGTGTATAATAGTAAATGTGGGGGAAGCTTTTTTTAAAGCCTCTCTTTTTTATATTATAGTGTGTTGAGAAGGCTTGCAATAGAACTAGTGTGTTGATGATTTGATCAGAGGAAACAGCTGGAGTAACATGGCCATAAAATGAACAAAGGAGTTTGATAGAGAGTGATGGAAAAATATGAAGCTCTGTTTCCCATCCTCACCCCCACCCAGGCTATTTTAAAATGCTACTCATTATGGTATTACAACTGATCAGTAGATAACTTTCTGAAACCACAATTAAGAGCAATCATGAAAAAATTCACCATCACTCTGTACTTGTTTTGCGGTTCTCCCATTTCTTAAAATACCTTTCTGTTGCAATCAAATTCCACATGTTTCAAGTCCATGGAAGTGGTGATGAGGGGCAAAGAGTGGTCACTCAGCACTATATGTGCGTCAGCCAGCCCTGCAAATAGGAACGGGACCATTGTAAAATGGCCCTCTACTGCCAGCTCACAGGAATAGAACAGCACTAGGCCATAGTCATAGCCATAAAAGTCACTGAGGGTGTGAGTTGGGGAGGGGGCCTTCCGGCTAGAGCAAGCCAGTCAGCTCCCGGCTCTGTGCCAGGGGTTTTTGGTGATCCATACTGCCATGAAAGGAAGACATTGATCCTTCCCTGGTCCCATCCAATGCACTCACCAATAAAGAAGCATGGGGAAAGCAGAGGCGAGACTGCAGTGTCTAGAAGTGGCACCCACTGGCCAACCAGCCTCTCATTGCATAGCAACCAGGCAGAGACAGGAGGGACTAAAAAATCCAGGAGGTGTGGTGTGTGGGCAGGAGCATGGAATTTAAAGGGGTTAAAACAGACAAGGGAAGTGGAGCAGTGGAGAGCAGTGGGTGAAACATAGAAGAAAAGTTGGCAGAAGCATGGCAGGGATGGAAGGAAGAGGGTGGGGAGGCCAGTTGCCCCCAGAGAAGAAGAGAAGTAACCTTCCTGCTCTTGGGCAGCCCTG